TCTTTATATAAATAATCATTAACATTGACTTGATTCCATTAGTGAATATGATCTTAATAGAGAGATCAAGTTTCTGCCTAACCTGTATAGTATATTAATTCTTATTTCCACAAATAAACTTGGAATTAGAGATGTTTAGTAATTTGTTCTATATTACTAACATAGAAAGTGTCCTAGTCAGACCAGGATCCCAGATTTTTGTCAATTTTCTAGAATAAGCTGTATCATGAAAACTTTTCCGAGTAAATACGTTGATATCAACACTGACTATGTAGAAAAATGGTCCTTAAGTACATTAATTTTCCACTTACATTTCCTGTCACTGATTTTGTTCTAGGATGTTGGCAAAGGATGAGCTGATGATGATACTTCAGAAATGTTGCAGTGTTTTTAAGTCATCTTCTGGAAAGCAGCTTGGCAGCACAGCAAAGACAATTGAGGAGTTCCTGGCCCAGTTTCAGAACCTTGATGGTAAATGTATAATATCTTGCCATTCCTACTGGCTGTGATAGTCATTTAACAAAGGTGATATGGAGTCAGCTATCATACATACATGCTGAGATATGAAGAGATAAAGTAATTAATAATCGCATTCAATATTCAAAGCCTTAGTATATGACATTTAACAATAAAAAAAGAAACCAAAGTTTTCTCTGCCAAATTTAAACAATGAAGTGCACCAAATAGGAAGAGAAAAAAAAATTCTCTCTCCAAAAAGACAGTTTGGAAAACTTACCTAAAAAAAAAACTTTTAAGAGTGAAAATAGTAATCATGAGTAAGGATTCCTTGTAGTATGTGGTATTTTTGTCCCCCATAAGCATTTCATCAAGTTCGTTGTAGATCACAAAAACACTACATAAATCATATGTAAGCCTGAAAAAGTAATAGCTATGAACTGCATTCACAGCAGTGAGGTTCATTGGTATGCTGATTACCAAATAAGCTTTCTCTAACCAGATTTGCAAAAGCTTGAATTTTTCAGCACTAAATTATTTGAGGCAGCTGACACTTGTCCGTGTTGGAAAGTATATTTAGCATGGCCTCCACATGACCATTAAATGCGTAGGATGCCTGACTCTAGATATCAAGCAATGCTCTTAATGCTTAGGTCTTCTTTGTGGTACACTGTGATTGACCTTGAATACAGACTTTGCATTGTCTTTTCTGCTTTCTTTCTAGCACCTAAGTATGGTCTTTTTTTTATAGAACAAAAATGGTCTGTTCCTTTTACTTTTGCCTTACATAAGGGAAATAAATGTTACTGGAGTCTTAAGAATCAGCTTTATACTCATAAAGAAAATAGGACAGGACATGGTGAGAAAAGATCTTATTAGAAATGATCATCTTAATAATTTTTTTTTTCGACAGTTGTTCCTTATTTCTGAAAATCCTTTGCATTTAGGATAGTGTTGAGCAATTGACGCACATCAGTGGATGATGAAACTTGGCTGACCAGAGCAGAACAATGAATAAATAGGACAGAAGAATTAATGCCTTTGAGTTGTGAAGAATTAATGCCTTTGAGTTGTGGTGTTGGAGAAGAGTACTGAATATCCCATGAACTACCAAAAGAAAAAATAAATATGTTTTGAAAAGTGTGCAACCAGAGTGTGTCTTGGAGGCAAAGACGATAAAGCTTGTTGCTAGCAGAGGCTAACCCTTCGAGAGGGACATCATGCTTGGAAGGGTGGAAGGTCACCAAAGGAGAAGGCCCCCAACCAGAGGGATTGATGCAGTGACTGCCACAGTCCCGCAGTCAGCTCTAGAGTTTCAAGGAGTGTGAGGATGGAACAGGATAGAACAGGGTCCTGATCTGTTGTTTATGGAGTCACTATGGGTCATACTTGACTCGATGACACCTAACAAAAGCTTTAAATTTTATCTTTCAGAACTAAGAATTTTCAATATCTAAAAAGAAATTTATTCTTTGAAAACGGTGCAGATTTTCCAGCAGCCAAGTCACTTGACTATTTGAAGTTTCAAAGAACCTACCCTGGACTTGGAAGAGGGTTTGAGGGCCTTATGCTGTACAGAAGCTGTATAGCTTTTAATTTTATCTGAGGTCAGAGAGCCATGATACATTGTTTAGTAGATTATATCAAAACTCACACACTTACCAAAGCCAGGAAAAGACACCACCAAAATAGAAAACTATAGGCCAATATCTCTCATGAATATTGATGCAAAAATCCTAAATAAAATAC